AATAATGTCATTGGTTGTTTTGTTACTTATGCACATTTCAAGTCTCTTTCACTCAAGTAAGCGCGGATCTTATTATGGCTCATAATTAGAGTGGAGGTTATTATTTTTTTTTCAAATTTATTGAAATAGTTTATAATCTGGCTTTTCTTTTGGGGGTATCCTTGTATGTCAAAGTTTTTTACTCTAGAAGTTAATTTTCGTTTACCAAATTACACCAACGAATAAAAAAAATCACATTAATGTTGCAATTTATAGGTAAATTTTTCCATTAGCCGCCTCGCTTTAATTTAAACGCCGTTTATTCTGATGTGTGAGACGCAAATCTCTTGTAAATTCAGCATCATTAGAGAAAAATGCAGACAGGTGTGGATAAATCGTTGGAATTATACGTGCGTGTATTTATGCTGGGAAGCGCGAGCGTTAATGAAGCCGCCGTCTGACAGCGATTAGAAGAGGTCGTGTATGTTTGCAGTGCTATATCAGGGCGATAAAACGCGCGAGTTAATGCCCGTGTGTGCGCGAAACAGCCGCGATCTCTCTCGGCAACACGTAGGTGGCGAGAGAGCGTCTTGCGAATTCGCAGAATCACTTGGCCCCGGCAGGATTCTGCGTTTGGCGTTAAGAGGATTACGGGCCGTGCACGACACGGGGATTTGCATTGTTGCTCTCCTCTTTCTCTCTCGCGCTTCACGTAATAAGCATCGGGCCGAATGACAAAAGACTTTGCCTAAGTAGGGATCTCGGATATTAATGAGACGCGGCGCAGTGACATAGAGAGACGACAAAGACTAATGAAATTGGCCAATGTATGAGCCCGTGCATTCCGTATCGCTAGAATAATGTGTCTCTGACAGATTCCCCGTTTTGTAAATTGTGTGCACTCAAGTGAAATTTACTTTTCACTTATTGTGAGGGGTGAATTTTTCAAACCGGGCTTTCGATTTTGCAGGCAATTGATTTGCAAGCGCCAAACAAGTGGCAAGTTTGTCAAAGCAACTGACACTCCGCCGGTTACGCAACCGTGTCATATAACCACTGGGATGTGACGTGTGTGCGAAATGTGTGTTGCGGGTTGCCAGATTCACACTTCATTACGCTCTTTTCTACCTTCTAGCTTCCGCTGAAATCCGTCTTCCAATTTAAAATTTATGGTTAATTAGGTTCAAACTAAAACAAGATTAAAACACCTGAATTATTTACCACCGATTTGATTACTGATTAAAGAAAATTTATAAATATATTTCATTCAATTTAATGAATGCTTTGACTTGATTTTTGGTCAGAGTTATTCAGTTTTATTTAATGTCATCTTTTATTAATCAACATTGTGAGATTATCTTTACAAAAGAATTTAAAAATTTTGACTAGCAAAAAAAGGAAATAAAAAACTGTGACGGGAATGGAAGCAGCACACTTTTTTTTTAATTTTTGCAATGCGTGGATGAGAAAGAAATACGAGCACTAAAAAAATTACACTTTGGACGTAATTGGGACTGAAATAATTAGTTTTTTGGCGCGTGCCTCTCTTTTTATGGCAAAATACGAACATGAGTTGCAAACTCAAAGGACATAATATTTTGGCAATGGTGATACCACCGCAAAAATTGGACCTTCAGAGAGAATTTTTTATATATTTTGGGTGGATTGTCAGCCGCTTGGTTATAAGAATTTCAAGAATTTCATAATGTTGAACGTTCTATCCGCAGAACCGGGATAAAATTATCTAAGAATTGGAATTGAACTTTCTTTTCAGGCTCTTTTTATTATTTTCAGGTTTAATCCTCTACTTATACATAATGAAACTGCAATACTTGGTAAAACTGAAATTTGGCACCAGCAAGTATTATTATTATTTCATATTACAGTTTATGAAACAGATTTTTCACTGTAACATAAAAAATGACTTTTCGCAATTGATTTTTAAATTTTAAGTTCTTGGCACTTAAGATGTGTTTTCTTCTTTTTAAATATCAAGTAAATTTAAGGCGGAAACACAGTGAAAAGGATTCGCTGAGTTTTCTATTTTAGTCTTATTTTCGCTTGATCATTTTTTTACACCGTTTTGCACTAAATGTTAATCTCAAATATATCTTGGATCTAGGAAAAATAGTTTTCCTCATTGCTCAATCATTAAAATAAATTTGAGAAGCACCTATCAAGAATAATAACCGCCATAAGTACATTTTGCTCTGTTTCTTCGCGTTGGAGGTTAAAATTAACAATAATATAGAAGTAATAATGTTAGCAATTTCCCTTGGTGTATTAATTATTGCACTAGTTTTAGGTATTGAATTATTATTTACAATAAGTCTACTGTAAAATATGATTACATTGAAAAATTGGATTTCAGACAAAATGATTATGCACAAAAGTTTTAAAAACCCGATTATTTAAAACTTAAAATGGAAATAATTACCCATCAAAAAATTCTACAATAATTAAAATTCCCAAGAATCTCTAAATTGAAATTACAAGTTTCTTAAGCTATAAGAGTGTCTCACCGTTTCTGGGGCCAACAGGTGGGCCTCGCCTTAAAAAGCGGCCAAGGCGCTCGGCCAAAGTGCTCCACATGGCATGTCAAGCGGCGGCGCCGCGGCGACGGGAGGCGGCTGCAGCGGACATTGAGCGAGCAGCGGCGCCGACACTGGCTTATTCTTTTATCACGTGTTGCTGATAACTGAAGAGCGAGGCGCCGCCGCCGCCTGTTAATCGGAGGCCGCCCCCGTTGCGCAGTCTCCTTCGCACCCCCGGCCACCCCTTACTACTCTCCTGCACGCGCTCCCCCGCGCTCGTCCTCGATGTGCGCACCCAAAACTACATACGTATGTACATATTTACGCACACACGTGACGCAATACTCGGTGGATCTGCATGCAGCAGAGAGGGTTTTTTCATTACTTTCGAAAGGGCTGCACGCGTGGAATGTTTTTGATTTGCCTTTTTATACAACCGAGGGGAGAATTTTCAGATATAAAAATGACTCTTTTTATTTAGATTTAATAGCTTGCCTGCGCTCTTTAAAAACCGATGAATTATTCAGGAGATTTCTCCAAATAAAACTGACGAATAAATGTGATTTAAAAAAAAAATATCGTGTGAAGAAAGAACTTTTTTATTTTTGTGATGAATTTTCAAAGTGATTAAATTTATATTTTCTTATTTACCAATTATTTTACTTTGACATTCAGGTACATTTGAATAAATGAGAAAAATCAATCACCAAAAAGGTTTTATTTGAAAAGAGTAAAAAATATATTAAATTATATTGTGCATTAAGCTGCATTATTTTAAAATGAAATTTAATATAATTTTATATAATATCTGTATTATATTATTTAAATTTACTAACAAATCTTTGGTCAAATATTGAGGTTGTACTTATAATCAAGTTGAAAATGAAATCAAATAATAAAATAAAATAATTTGTAAAAACGGTAAAAATGTTTCGCGCATAGATGCAGTTCAGCAATTTGAATCACATTCAAAAGAAAAAAATTGAGGCTGATTTTGGAAATTTCTCATGAATTCAATGCTGCATTTTGATTTTTTTTTATTCTTCTTCTCCCAAAATTGCTTGCATTCTGTTAAATTCAGGAAATTTGAAAATACGAATTCCCCTCATCCACAAATTACTCCCCCGCATCAATCTTTTTTGTTTTTGAAATAAGTTTTCAAGTTCTCGTTGGAGAATTTGCACTCCCCGCCTCAGAGATTGACGCCAAAACGCGTCATCGGCCTCATTACTATTCAGCGCGCCGACAAGTTCTTGAATATAACTGCCAGAAAAATCACGAACTCGATCCTCCGCGAACAAGTTGAGTAACTCGTGTCGTTATGAATTCAAAGGAGAGGATTTATCAATAAGGAGCATTGTTAAAGAAGAAGCCTCAAAACGCGTGTAATCCAACGCCGTTTCTCGTCGGCAACGAACTCCTCGTTTGCGCAGTTTTTCCTGGAGGAGTTATTTTGGCAAAAATATATCCAGGAAATGCAAATTCCGGTGTATTCTGACGCAAATGTGTGGGCCGAGCCCGGGAGATGAAATTCGCGATGTTACGTGCGCACGTGATTGTGTTACAATAGAGGACTACCTTGCACCGATCAATCGCCTTCTTCGAACTCGAAACGCGAACACGGTGCCAAAGACGGTGCTGGAAAATATTATGTATTTCCACGCAGGTTCACTGGGTTTAAACGTTGGTAATGTGAGATTTTAGTTTAAATTTTAATTATAAATTTATTTGCAGTAGAATTGGTCTTTTTAAAGTTTTTATTAATTTTATCAGTATCTTGGCAAATTGTATCCCTGTTTTCAATAAATAAAATATGCCCACCTTTTTAAAAAAGATGTGAATATTTTAAAATTTAAAACTTTATTAGCTAGATTCACTAAAAGAAACTGTTATAGAAAATTAATAATTTCTGCAAAATCGAATTTTGAAACAAGATAATTTACGGTTTAATTATTTGCAGACACGTGCATGATTGTGACAAGAAAATTTTCATTCAGACAGACGAAGCAGCAATTATACGTGCCAATGAGTATTACGGCAATTTATAATCGGGCGTAACACGAGTTTTGCCTCTCAGTGATTATCTCTGCGTCATGCTCGCGCCAATGTCATCATTTTTTCTGTCCTTACACGTCGAGTGCAAGTCCATTAATCACAAGGCGCTCACGCTGCACAAGAAGCAAAGTTGAGAGCCAACGCGGAATAAAGCAATAAATTTTGTTCAGAATTTGAAATTGATTGTAAGTAAAGATATCTTATTAATACCCTTAACTTCCATAGAATGGACAGGAAATATTTACTTAACTCTATATTTTAGAAAAACGAGGAAAAACTTTAAATTCAGAAATATTATCAACAAGTATGAGCGGAAGCTAAACCGCAAGAACGGAAGCAAGACAAGTCATAGAATTCAAAAAACACTGTCGTTTTGTGAAGTTTATGCGATTTCAAGTCGCATGCAAGAGTTAAATTTGGTGTTGATCTCACCTTGGACGGCGGCGGCATCATCGTCGGGGACGACGTCTTCGTCGAAAGAGGCGCTCTTGATGGTGGCGAGCGGCACTTTGCGCGGCATTTTAGTGTTGTCAGTGTGTCGTAATCAGCGCGAGCATTCCTAATCAGCTTCCACTTCCGGCCGCCAACCGGCCGCCGACAGGCCACCTTCCCAGCGCTCTCCTTTGATTCACGCGCTGAAGAAAGCTGTGCAAATAATAAATGCACTCGGCGCGTCACTCGCTGGCAAAGGCCGGTGCCAAAAATACGCCGCCGCCGCTCGGTTTCATTTGTAGTGCCTGTGCGAAAGCGCGACTAGATTTAATTAGCCGCGAGATTTGTTAACCAGCTTGTTGCGCATTAGCTTTCCTCTTTTCGCTTTGGCGCTGCGGAATGGACCACCGGTCAACACCCCCCTTGTCAACAGTTCTATTGAAAGAGAACAAGCAGTCTTTGAAATAACAAAATGATTTGTGTGGAGAGAGGCCCAATCGTTGAATTATTTTTGGAGTGGTCAAAACGTTGCTCAATCCGAAATTCGGATAATAGGTTAAATTAGATTGCTGCGCAAGAAAGGTCTTTTGATTTTTATTTCGAATCGCTTCAAATATGGTTTGTGATAGAAATAAATAAGTGAGGAATTAGAATATAGATTATAGTAATAAGAAATAGGATGTAATCAATTTAAATATCTAGATACATGAATTTCAATCGAATTTCTCAGACTAAAATTTTTATCGAAAAATCCTTTGCATACTTTTTCCATATCGGATTATATTTTCTTTTGTGTATCATGTCTCATTATTCATTCAACCTACTTTGACTTTTTTAGAGCAATAGAGTTATTTTTACACATTTTAAAAAAAAACACACACACACTCATGTCTTGCTTTTGATTGGAATAAACACACTAATCGGATCACGTTTCATGTTCTTATACTTAGATGGAATGATTTGTTTGCGGTCTCGCTTCACGGAGAGTGTTTTTAATGATGTTTGTGTGATGTTGCATAGTGAGTGTCTCACTTACATAGGGAGAGGATGAACGTACGTTATTAAAATATTCATTTGATGCAGCAGCAGCTTTATAATACTCGGACTGCTGAGCTCCGCTTTTTCAATCCTCGCCGCAACGACCAGTTTTTTCTCACATTAAACACGGAGCAATTTATTAGAATGTGATAAACAGCGCGTTTGTGCAAGAGATGCTCTCTTTGCTCAAGCGTCTCCCTCGCAATAATGAGAGTTGCAAGAGAACATTACACACGCATATATGTATTTTGCAACTTCTTGTGTACTTAATTTGCGTTTGGTGGCATTGAGGACTTTTGCATAATAGTCCAAGAGGAAATATAAAACGTGGAATGAAGCTACTTAAAAGTTTATAGTATAGGCATAAATGCTGACGTTCATCGGATTATTTATTGGCAATTAACTGCAATTTAATATGACATTAATCTTTCCTCGCCATAATCATTCCATAAAAATGTGCTTGAATTATTTGAATTAGAATAAATTTTAATAACGTATCAAAAATCTGAGAATAGCCTGCTATGCCTCCAGGAAAATTGTTAGAGATAAGAAAATATAATATTTTATAATGTTTTTAAAAAGAAAAAATATTTTTTGAATGTATATGTATGATGTACTTGAGCAGTAATTGCCTCCTGATACAATCAATATAGTTACTTTGCAACTAAAGCATAATTATAACATTAATTCAACATTTTAAATTAAAAGCGATGTTAAAATAAAATACGTACAATTTCAAAATTTATTTAACGTTTTTAAATTTATTATAAAAAACTTTTAAAATTCCCAAGCAAATTAATATAGCCTATGAATGTTTATAAATAATTCATTTAAAGAAAATAATATAATAAAGAATTGAAAATTATAGAATTGACAATGCAATTTAATTTACTGCCTATAAGTAGTGTGTTTTTTAAATTCCCTGCGGCGCTTTCCATTTGCATAGGAGAAAATAAACAAGAGTGCAATTATAATTAAATTCTGAGCAGCGAAAAAACAATTCTATTGGAAAAAGGGCGGAGAAAAAGGCCTGGAATTCTCCATTGTCGGCGCAAAAAAGGAACAAAATGAACCGGCAGTCCACTCTTTATATTCGCAGCACAAAGCGGGAGCGAAAAAACCTTGGATAAAAAGAGAGGAAAAAATAAACTTTTTACGGGTGAAATTTGTCGAGGTGATTGATGTCGGTGTAATTGCGCCCTCTGTCCAAGTGTCAGCTGCAAAATTCCGTGTGTCCGCTTACTTAATTGGAAGGGCCGTGGATAAATAACGTTTCTTTTCGCACTCGCGGACAATTAGCGGCCGGCGTTTCGCGAACTGCGTTTTGTATAAACAAAGAGTTTAGCGCCTGCTGGGACGAACGTAACAAAGAATGGAAAGCACTCGCTCGCTCACTCAGGCCGGCGACACTTGAAAAATGCGCCGCGATACTGAAGCGCCTCACTTGGCGGCTCATTATGTGGGAGGCATAATAAAAATGACGACGGGCGCGGTCACGTGGCCACCCAGCTGCGCTCGCAGAGGGGACACCTCCGAAGAGAGGAGAAAACACACCGACCAACCCGCGGTGTTAATTGCCTTAATTCGCATCCTTCCATAGCTCAACATCGCTTTGACCGTTACCTTGTGCAAATAATAAAATAAATAGCGAAAAGTTTAGCGAAAAAGATCTCAAATAGAAAGCTTATTGGCTGAATGGTATATTTACCCATTTAACCTTAATCATTAATTGGGGTGGGTATGAGTTAAACAAAATTATTTAAAGCGATTTTTACAATCAAAATTATTTTTCCCTTGGCGTCCAGATTGAGCAAGAGCATTAACCTGTTAAAACTGCTTGCAGGCTGGTTTGATATGATGACGCGATTTCCTTTTTATTGGGTTAACTTTTGACTTTTCACACCAAAATTCGTTTTATAGCCTCTCTTTTTCAGTATATTAAATATTAAAATCATAAAAAGGCAGGAAAATTTTTTTGTATCTTTTTCCGCCTTCTATGAAGAGGGAAATTGAAAAGCTTTTTAAAATGAGGAGAATGTCAGCGAAGAGAAATTCGTTATGACAATAAATGTCAAAGAAAAGTTTTCCAAGCAATGAATTTTGCTGTAAATTATAAAAATATTTGCGCTCTCTTTCCTCTATAAGGAATTTGAGAAATTAATAACAATGAAACTTTAAAAGTCATCCATGTGAAAAATTCCTGCTTGAGTTTTTTAATCAACAAATTGGTTTAAAGGAAAAAATGTTGCAAAAACCAAACTATTTGATCAGACTTATCATTTTCCAGACATTTTTTTCAACAATGAGATTTACTGCAACCCGTATTTTCATGAATTCGTTTTTCGCTCCACCATATTCTACGCGAAAATTGAGTTTAAAACATTTAAACCAAAAGATAGAGAGCGAAAAAAAACCGCTGGCACAGCAGCAATCCAGGAGCGGAAAACACAAAAGCTGGAGCACTCAGGCACTCGGCCTTGCAAAAAACTCAATTTATTCGCGAGAGAGCGTGCCGAGATTTTTGCCCTCCACGCGAGAGATTAATTCGCAGGCCGGCGGTGCTCCATAGTGTTCGCCCTAAATTCATCTGGCGAGGGGAATTTCCGGAGAGAGAGAAAAGTCGAATGCACACATATTTAACGCATACGGTGGTGAGAGTTGGATGGAGTGCGAGAGAGAAGCAACAATAAAAAGGAGCAAACTGTTACATCAGAACAGGCAGACGCGCAGCACACGCCGACGTCAAGCGCGGGCAGATGAGTTGAAAGCGCAGAGCTGCTGTTTTGTTATTTTTCATCAGCGGGAGGTTAATAAGTTTGACACGTCAAATGTACATTGACGACGTAGTGCCGTTTTGGCCGATAGTTTTCGCTCAACCAACTTCTTAACTAAAAAAATAAACAGTAGTTTAAATTTAATTAAACTGTTTTGTTTTTAATCATAAGAGGGAAACGCAAATAGGAGTTTCCTAATTATTTTAGGTTGAAAATTTAATTAGTTGGGGGATAATTCGATAGTAAAAAATTGCAAGATTGTGATTTTCCATGTGCAATTTTTCAAATATGATGAAAAATTTAGTATCAAATTTATCAGCTTATATGTAAATATTCCCGAAAACTAATTAATTGCAATTTTTCCTAAATTTATTCCCACACCTGTGATATAAACTAGCTCAAAAGTAACTTCTACCTAGAATTTTAACGACTATTTCTTCCATCAACGTAATAAATTATCTTCTAACTAAAAACTTTCAGCCTCTCTAATTCCTATCTATTTTTCTTGCGTTGGCACGAAAATTGAACCACTCTCTCAGCAGGAAATGTCGCCGTGAGTATTTGTGCGTTTTCTCTCAGATTTACGGCGCAGTCAAATTTTTATGCCCGCGCGCCGATAAAGCCAGCGAAGTTTTGGCCAAACCTGAAATCAATCACGGCTCTCGTGGCTGATTCCGCGACAACCAAACTGCGGCGCGGCCAATGACGTTGGCCAATAATTTTAACCCGCAGCGGGACCCCACTTTAATCCAGGTGAACATAATCAGCCCGCGGGACGAAGATTTGGCAATACGTGTTCGCGGACAACGCTACTCTCGGGTCACAACATTTTATGTTGCTATCTTTTGTGAAAGGCGAGGAGAGGTTATGACCCCACGCAGAGCCTATCGCCGAGCTGCATCTCCGCAAATTGAAATTCCAGCCGCAAGTGCCCATTAAAGTTGACAAGTACTTCGTTCGATGTGGAGTGAATTTTTATGCAAATTGCGCGCCTCCAGTTATGATTTGCGAACGCGGTCCAACAAAGTGAATTGCGTCTCTCCAGCAAAGGGACCAGAGTTGTTCAACTCTAAAGTGGTATTCACTTCATAAAGTTTTCTCATACACCGCACACAAATTGTGAATAAATTGCACCAAAATAATGAATTACGTATTATTAAAGGGGATAAATTTCATTACATACCAAGAATGAAACTATAATAAAATTAAATATAAAAAAGGAAGATGCTTATCACTCAATTTTTTAATTATTTTTCAATTCAGTGAAATGTTATTTTTCTAACAGATAAACAATAATAATAATAATAATAAAGTTGGTAGTCAAAGACGTTCATGAAAATGAATTAAAACGGGCTTTGATTGGTATCTGTGGTCATTACTGTGTAATTAGCGTGCGGCTATCTGTCTTAGCTAGCTCATTTTTTTTTATTAGTTAGCAAGCAGACATTCCAGGCGAATGCCGGCATAGTTCCCATTCATAGGCCGCAGCCGCTCACCTTCCTCATCCTTCAAATTCCCAACATACAAACCCATCCTACACTCCCTTCTCCCCGGCCCAGTGGGTCGCAAGGTCACCGTGTTATCGGCCCCGAAAGGGGAGAATCCGAGTTATCGGCCCTTGCGATTTAGCAGCCTGTCTGCTACCGCTGGTGCCTTTCCCAAGAGGGATAAACAATTAAAAAAAAAGCAGTGCGTTTGCTCATGAAATAGGTTGGTGCTTGAATTTTGTTAATTTAAAATTTTCTTGTTAAAAAAGTGGTTTTTCAATTTTGCTGATTTTTTTTATTCTTGTTCATGAAAAAGGCTCGCAGACCGTGACCATAACTGGTAGAACCATTTGTTTTTTGAATAAAATACAAAATTTTCAACAAGGAAAAAGCAAGGTTTTCTTCACTTCATTGATTAATATTAAATCTTATTTATTAATATTACTTATTAATTAATTACAATTAATTATTTATCACTTTTGTGAAAAAACACGTTATTTTGTTCCATTTTAAGTTGATTTTGAAAACTTTTATTGTGAGGGTAATTTTTAATATTCAAAATTTCATGCAGCTTGCCATTTCGCCGCGCCTTTTGTGTCATATTCATTTCCCCACGACGAGATCAAGCTTTTGTGATTAGTCGGCGGACGACTCGAGCTGTATATTTATGTTTAGTCAACAGAGCAGACGAAACAATATCGGTCGGATCCTTTTTACGGCGCGTCTCAAAATGGAATGTGGGTCAATGCAAAACTTATCATTCCGCACGCAGATATAATTGATTAGCAATGCATAATTGCTTCAGTTTTTTTTTGCTTCGCACATCGTCGGTGCAGCCGTGACTTAATTGGATTTCGCTTTTGCTCTGCGATCGATTTTCTTTCTTCGCTTTTTAATTAACATCAATCAGAGTGACTCGTGTTTATACGACTAATTAATTTCTGCTTTTAATTACTTTTATCGCACACGTGGCGAAAACTTGGCACTAAACTACCCCTTTGATGATGTGCGATGCTTCAAAGGGGGGGGGGGAGATTTTTCAATGAGATTTAACTTATCTCTAAGAAAAAATAGCATGCTGGTTAATGTTTGTATATTAAATGAAGCTTTCTTTTCGGGCGAGGAGAGAAGAGATAAGATCTCGACGACATGTGTACTTGCTATATTTAGAGACGTATGCAACTCAGAATATCACTATTTTGATCAAATAGTTAAATAATTTTCAGACTCAAAGAAAACATGACTTAATTGGCCAGAAAACGGTTATTTTTAATATTTTTCAGATATTTTTCTTACAATTATGAAAATATTACCCCTTGCAGAGAGTTAATGTAGGGGCCTATTTAAAATTGCCTACTCTGAAGGTTTGTTTGAAATTAAAGAATTTTTATCCAAAAAGTCATCACAATTTTTAAATCGTAAATTGCAGTATAAAAATTCGCTTTAACTTTCGCTTCACCTTTTTCACCAAATGTATTTGAGCTTCTAACGAAGGTACATAGTTGTGATTAATAAATCAATAAATACAGTTAAAAAAACAGAAAATTAATATTGACTCTCCCAAGGTTCAAAAGGTTACAATTTCAATCAAAATTTCACCCTTCATATTCAGGAATAAAAAGTTACTTGACTTCAATATTTCAATTCAAGTAAGATCACTTTTTTTCCAAATATACTTTTTGTGAATTTATAAAGTATCCAATAAAGCATAATTTTTGTTTGAATAGACTAATCGAACTTTTTGCAGAATTTGTGAGTTTATTATTTCACTTGTACCAACCATGAACAACACAGTGTGATAAATAATTGAAATAATGCATCAGTATAAGTTTGTTCTCTATGCAACAAACCACATCGCACCGACTTGACGCTGCACCAATGCACACATACGTTTTCCGGCGACAACAGAAAACTAATCAATATAACAGGTTTGTCGTGAAATGTCGCAATAGTTGCCCGCAGCTCAGAGAATGGCAATAATAATCATCGACCTGCACCGCCGAGCGCGAAACAATTTAATTAGATGCGATGTAATTGCTGAGATGCATTCGGTCAAAAGGCCCTGAATTGAAAATTAACCGACATATCGTTGGAGCGAGCGACATGCACTCTGTGGTCATTTCAATTTCCCATTTGCATATAAAAATACTTACCTGTTTCTCTGTTGCGCACGCGGC